TGATTTGTGTGGATTGCTATCCAACTGCACCTTAGGTTAAAATTATTTTTATTTTATTAAATGCTTCTGTTCACAGAAGATTTTACTAAGCACTATTACAATTTTCATATGCTCCAGTTCTCCAGCGTGAACCTCGTCCTACGTCCTCACCTACCCCATCCCCAAATGCATTCAGGTATGTGCTTGGTGCTGAGACACTACGAAAACTATTTATTTTGATAAAGGTAAGCAAACTCCATAGCACCATGGATAGAGGATATGTTCCCAGTAAAAAAAAAAAAAAAAGCTGTCTTCATACTAAAAAAATAATAGGGATGAAATGTTCCAAGTTTTGCATTGTTCTAACCACGCTGCTACTACAACAAGCTGTAAATTCTCAGTGACTTCAATAGCTGCAAAGGTACATCAATGCTGCAGTCAGTAAAATAAAGATATCCATCGTATTTTCCAGCATAACAAGAGCAGTGGACATTGACTGTTACGTGAAGTTAACAGTCAATAGATCTATCCCATAATTCTTTTCCTGTTTTTTTCACAATGAAGAGCAACTGAAGTCTGCATAAAAGCAGGACAGAATGCTTGCAAAGACGGACCAGCAATAAATGTGAGAAAAAATGAAGGAGTTTGTATGTTCTGCAACAAACAGAAGACAACCTGAGAAGGGAGAAAAATTTAGACTGCAAAAAGAAACAAAGGTCAATAGCAGGACTAACGCTGGGGTGATGAGGAAGAGAAAGACAATGTAAAGCTTTACTTTCAAGTTGTTCTTTGGTAGTTATTAATTTGAATGATTGCAAAGATGCAAAACAAGTATTCAAAATCTAATCAAACATCAGTAGTGGAGGGCATGCTAATTGGGAAGGAGGGAGCAGAAGCTGGAGGAATTAAGAGTGCCTGGGCGATGAGAGAGTGTCAGATAAGCTATAACACAAGGAAAGGGGCAAGGTATCCAGGGGAATGACATGGATGGCAGAGGCTGGGGGCTGGATAGGCTACCTGGTAAGACCAGCTAACCAATCAAACTGCAACAACAAAAAACACATCAAAAAAACACCCCCAAAATAAATTTAAGATGAAACCCTTCATCAGGAACACCTCAAGTCACCTGCATAATTACATGGATGCTCTCCAAGTACAGCTTTCCATGGCCACTCTCAACTACAAAGCTGCAAACTGTGATTTAGATTACTCTCCTGCTTGGAGCTTTCAACTCATATCCAGACATTCAGGAACTTCTCACCAGTGGTAGATAAAGAAATTAATGCCCCCCTCGGATTGAAGCTGGGAGGGCAACCCAACCCAACCAATTCTGTGATTCTATGAAATATGCTGTTGACCTGCTGATCCCCATCCTTTGCTCTGACTTTGACAAGAAAACAACTGAGAGAGATTTGCCAGAATAGTGATCAAAACACCCCACGTCCCTAAGGGATCGAATCTGGCCAGAGCAGACCAAACTGGAAAACACTCTCTTGCTGGCCCTGGATTGTGTACAGGGTGGCAAAGATAATGAGCAGACCTGCAGCTTAGTAATACTGCTTGTTCTTCCAACTACTTTTCCTGCTTGCTTCTTTTGTTTGGACTTCAGCAGGTTCAAACCTGAAAGCAACCGCCCCCTAATGTGAACCCTTTGCAAAAGCATCCCAGAATTGCAGAGTCCTAAGGAAACACAGTGCTGATGCTGACCAGGAGCTCGCTTTGGGCTGCCACCTTTGGGTTCGCACTGGCCATATAAATGATGAAACTGCATCCACAAATAGCCAGAACCTTCCCCAGCTACCACTTAAATACAGCACCAAGGAAGATGGGACAGATCTATTTTCACCTTAACCCTTCAGACAATCAAGGTTATTTGTGGAATTACTTGCTAAATTATCATGTGAAATGCTTTTGGGCAGGCTAACTCAATGGCTGCTGATAGCACAGTCCAATATCTGAACAGGTTCTTGCAGAGCCACCCAGCTCCCTCCCTTTTACATCTTGCTTCCACTGAACTGCCACCTTCAGCACATCTGGGTTTCTTCAGACAACTTCAACGTAGAACCAAAGGAGCTTTAGAAGGGCTTATGCTGCCCAAGTTTCAGAGCAGAGCCAGAGATGGGGACGCTGGGTACATGCAGAGGGTCCAAAGCAAACAAGGTCTAACCCCACTGACACCCAGTGGCCTTTTCTTAACCACCTAGAACCTGGACCTAAACACACTTATTCCAAAACAATCCACCTGCAGTGAGGGTGCATTCTAAAAATCTTACATTGAAAACTAATTTTTATGCACTGGAAAACATTGTTTGACCTCTCTATTTTTGGTTTGTTTGGTTTTTTTTACACTTGGCATGGATTTTTCTAAAGTAATTACACTACTTATTTTCCAACAGATGTCAAAAAATGTGTACAAAAATGTGTACTTACACTTTAGAAACTTAACATTCTGACTGCATGAGGGGCCAATGTCTAAATATGTTTTAGTAGGCAAGTACCTGGCTTTTATTCTAACATTTATGACAAGAAAAAAAAAACTTGACAGAGATTAGATTCATGGACTGAGTCAGAAATCCAGAGCTTCAGATGCTGTCCCATGTACTCTAAGCAGAATGTATACTTGCTAGTAGGATGGCCATCCACTGGAAAACCCGTAACTGATGAGGCTTCACACATCATACCACAGAGAAACCTTGTTTGAGTTATGCTCTGCTTTCAGTCTTTAAGAAAGTGCTGGGAACTATTTGTGATTTGCATCTGGGGAAGGAAAAAATAATTTGAATTTCTACAGCCAGCCAAACCAATGAATCAGGAATAAACTTCACCCAGGTGCTCCTTAAAGAAATGAGAACAGCAATACTACAAATTGAATAAAAGAACGTATCTTTGGAAGCTCAAAGTAATGACTGAATTAATGGTGCAGACTGACAGCAAGCAATCAGAAACAGCCTTAAGAATTTTCTTACCTGGTTCTGAAAATCTGACATATTTAATGAAAAATAGATTTGGCACTTCATTATTCAGCCACAAGCATCATAAACCACAAATGCCCAGAGTACACTCGAGAGGGTGTTTTGTGCACTATTCAGCAGTTCGCTTTGTGGGCTATTCAGGAAAATGCTGAAAGATTAGACTTAACAATTCATTTTAGCTCTGCTTCCCTGAAGACCTCACTGATGTGCTTCTTGTCCCAAGGGTTTGCCTGTGCCTTGTGTTTGGTGTAATGATGCACGATGCAGAACCGCACCAAGGAAATTTAGGAGCTGAAGCACCTAATGGAAACAGTGCAGAGCAAAGGTCCTGCTGCAGAAGGGTGGGGAATGAGTCCATGTAACCAGCCAGGTGGAGGCCAGGAGCTTCTCCCCAGCCCTGCCCCACACCTACGAGGAAGTGCCTTCACTGTGTGAAGGGATGAGGGAGTGAAGTACCCATCCAGCAGCACGGGGCTGCAGCTCAGTGAGAACTGGTGAGGGGAAGATGAGGACCTCAAGAGACCCAGTGAGCATTCTTTTGTCTAAGCTGGAACCTTTCACGGGTAAGAGAGAGAGCAACCCGTGGGTGATGTCTCCTTGACAAGACAATGCCTTTCTGTTGGTTAAGCTTTCTGGTGTGTTGCTAGGACAGGCATGTATTCAGCTGAAGTAATAAAGCTGCTTTGACACATGTATCTGATATGGCAGTTGGGGAAGCAGGCTGTTTTGACTCTAAATGTCTGATAGCTCTAGGTGAAGTTAGGTAAAGATAGCTTTCTTCTTGTCAATGAATCATGACATGAACACAAGTGAATTTGCTCCGAACGACTATAATACTAAATATAATAACAGTTGACAGCGGAATCAAAGGCAGAGCAGATCGGTGGGCACCTAAATGAGCTGGCTGTGAGAGCCCAGCAGGTTTGCATGAAGGCTCAAGAGCTGCTCCCCTGGGGTACATGCTGATGCAGTTGCATTGCAGGAGCACGAGAAACATATTCCTCTGTTTACACCTGCCAAGAGTGCTGAAAAGCCCCTCCGAGTCCTTCGTTCTGGCCAAAGATGCAGTGATTGCAGACAGCGGGACGAAGCGGAGGTACAAACATTTGCAAATGAGTAAGAAACATCTTACATCTTCCCGGCCATTCTGAAGAGAAGGCAAAGGCTGCAGAGGGGAGTGTTCTGTATGTGCACACCTCTGTCTGCTATTGCAGGTGTACGGACAGAGCACTTTGTTGGTTTGTCAGTGCACCGACTCAGTTTTCCATCCATTCAGCTCAGTAGTAGTGATCTTTTCACAGCTGTGTGTTCCTGAGACGAAGGCCTAACAAAGTTACACTAAAATGGTGTCTTAATGCCTGTTTTACCGAATGGACTCAAAGAAGGAAAGTTAACGGGATTATTTAGCGCAAAATTAACGATGCTTAACAGCACTGCTGCAGTCATCATCACGGCTGTGTTACAGAGCTCAGTCACTACTGATGAAATGTTTTCTGAACCAAACGAGTGTGAGCACAATGGGGAGCTGTGCGTTTCCTTCTTTTTAATAAAGCAAAGCACGACCTGTACGCTCTGCGGCCCCAGGGCAATCTGCTCATTATGGAACTTACAAAGTGGCGGAGTGAAGAAATGAGCCCGCTGTGTCTGCGGGGACACGGTTCCTAAAGCAACACCGAGAGCTACGGACAGCCCAAATTTACTTGGGGTGCATATCCCACATCGCAGCTCTCGCTGGGGCAACGCTAGAGTAAAATAAAATTCCTCCCCCCCCCCAAACCATTTGCCCATCCAGCTCCGCTCTTTCCAACCACCGAGCCGCCGCCGATAACCGCAGCCAGCCGCGGCCAGCGGCGCTGAGGGGACGCGTCGCTGCGCTACCGGGCAGGCGGCTTCGCACATCTCACGTCTTCGTTCACAGATGCGCCTCAACTTTGCCAGCCCTTACAGACGGCGGCCCGCAGCGCTCGGAGCGGCCGTCCCGGCGCCGCCCCGCAGGACCCTCCCGGGAGCCGGGCTGCCCCGAGCGGGACCCCGGCGGCGCTCACCTACCTATGGTGGAGACGACGGTGCTCACGAAGTAGAAGGCTCCGGGGAAGTCCCAGCGGGGCCGCAGGGCGTCGACGCGGATGCCCGCGGCCATGGCCGCCTCGTAGCTCCGCAGGAAGGCGCGCAGCTCGGGCAGGCTGATGTTGAAGATGCGGCTGAAGTTGTGCAGGGTCCGGTTCCAGCGCAGCTGCGCCGCCGCCTCCGACGGGCTCTCGAGGGCCGAGAAGACGGTGGCGCCGGCGCTCAGGTACGCCGCGATGAGGGCGGCCAGCAGCAGGAACCGCCCGTTGTCCTCGTTGAGGGGCGCCGGGCGCCGGCGGCGGCGAGG